GGGTCCACCAATCGTCTCGGGGCAGGGAGCCTCAAATTTGCACCCAGTTTCTGGGATATTGATTGGTAAGGAGCTGAAAACTTGGGTTAGAAGTAGGAATTAAGGACAGGAGTTGCGATTCTGGAACAGAGGGGTTATTATATGAGTTTAAGAAGCTAAGCAAGAAACTGGATACTAAGTGAAAGCTAGTGAGCTTGTGTTTACAATCCAAAATCTCACTGAAACAAAAATCCTGATACTTGTGCATACTTGTGCGTTACTGTGATTTTCGCTCTTCTCATCCAAACCCAACAACACAGGTCAAGAAGTGGATCTATTTTGCATAGCCGAGCCGAATTTTAGCAATTTCTCGCTTAAAAAACTGTCATGGAGACACATTTGTAGACGATCAGTTGTTCTGAAAACAATTGACGGTTCTCCAGCACGTGCGACGGGGGTTCCCCTGCATTTCTATGATATGTAGCTGATCCGGTGCCTATATTCATCGATATTTTAAACCTATCGCTTTTATTGCTTTGCAATTACGATGAACAAAAGTTCCATTTGATCGAATGATGTTGAATGTGCTGTGATGTCAAAGACTGTAGTAGATAAGCAGGCTTTATGGATTAAAAGAACTTGATGGCGACGGTTACACAGAGATACAGCAATTCGTGTGGTACAATAAGCTGAGAGGCGTCTGGACGGTGTCTGTGAGACAAAAGCATGTTGAGAGTCAGAAGGTGAAATCCATGACGAAACTCTTCAGGATCTTGATGTCAGAAGAGCCGACGATGTAAGGGAAGACTTGAGGTGTATCCGAGGAGGCCCCCGATGGCAGGAAATTGGGTTTGGGAAAGGCGATTTGGGCTTGCCCTCCAAAAGTGGAGGGATGTGCCCTCTTTTGCTTAATAAAAAGATGATGTTAGACATAAAGCTACTCAAAAAAGCTTTTTGTGGGGAATTACTTTTGAAATAATGCGAAAGGGAGACAAGAATGTGAAAAATAAGAGAGAAAAGCAAGTTAGTGTAATGGGTCACGCATCGGGGAGGGGGCGGGGGAGGGGCACGATGGGATTTGGTATAAAAATCGCATATTTATAGGTGCATATTTACATATTACACACATATGCATAATACAAAAGTGAGTGCCACAAAAAAATCAGATTACAAGTAACATGCCATCAAAGTTTGTGTAATGGCAGCTGGTAAGGCAAGGGCATTTAAAAATGGCTCCATTCAGGCCACTTTTGAATGCCTTGTTTTACTATGAAAATGTTAAATCGATGGGATTTTTGCGCCTTTTCACACACTGTCATCTCTTCGAACAAATTAATAGACTAAAACATTCTGTTCCATTTTATAAATGAAAGAAAGCTAATTTTATTTGTCATTTCTGTATTTCTGCTCTAACTGAACGCTTTCAACTAATATACGCCTCAGCTATTGGACGAAAACAATACTTACTTTGAAAACTGGAAAAGTTCTAATTTTCATTAAGTAGCCAGGCAAAATAAATAATAGCTTAAACAGGCTGCAGACCGTCAGGGTTCTGGCCTCTAGGCTCACATAACCCTCAGACATACAAAGACAGACATATCCCTGCTATGACTCATTTTATGCGTTTTTGCCGTACAGCGCTCGAGCGCTGCAACAGGCAGCAAAAATGCATATTGCAACGGCCCTGTCAGTGTGTGTGTGCGTGTGTGTGTGTGTGCGTGTGTGTGTCTGTCTGTCTGTCCGGGTATTTCAACTCGCTAACCGCGCAAGCTTTGAAACTGAAATTTTGCCAGTGTGTTC